TTTTTGCTTAATTACATTTAGTTGATTTCATGCTATCTTGGCATATTCCTGATTGAATTTAACCATTAAAAAAAAACCCTCCCACAACTACTCCTGCAAACAGCAACACTGGGAGCTCAGCATCTCCTGTAAATAGTGTCTGAGGCTGAGCAGACTGCTCCGCGTGGTGGGAGTCGATCACGAGCGTTGTCTCCGCCTGGAGCAGGGTAAAATCCCGCAGGCATCTTGAGAGCTCTTCTCAAGCTCTCGCCAGTGCTGAGCTGGAAGGCAGGCTTTTTTTTGCCTTTTTTTTTTCTGCATTTTCCCGCTGTATTGTTTTGCTTTTCCCGAGTCCAGACCTCTGTGTGCTGGCAAGGGGCTTGCACGGGGAGGCTGAGCGGGGCGGGAGCTCAGGAGGCAGGAGGATGCTGCTCCGTGTGTGTGCTCCGGGGAGGCGGAGCGGTGCCACCCTGCCGTGCCAGCCTCTCCGGCTGCTCCCAGAGGCCCAGAGGAGCGCTGTGCGAGCGGCACAGGCAGGGGAGCCAGCCCGGGGCAGAGCGGGGGGCAGGGAGGGCTCCTGGTCTGACCAGGGCTCCGGGGTGCATGTCTCCCCGCAGTGCTGCTCGCTGGGATTGCAGCATCCTGGGCACGAGGCACGGCCGGGAGAAAATCGGGAAACTTCAGCTTCCATGTGCCATTCATTTGTTTTCTTTTTTTGGCTTCCCCCATGCTAGCAGCAGCAGAAATAGGACAGATGCTTCCCTCTCATCCTCTCCGAGAACTGTCACTGTGCTGATGTCTAAAGGCAGTGTATGTTTTTCCAGTTTGCCTTTTCAGTGTATTCATTCATCTATCATTTTCTTCTCCAGCGCACCATTTACATCTGGGCTGTGCTCTGAAAGAAGACTGACACATTTATCATTTAATGGGGTTTGATAGCTCCCTGACAGCTAAACATGTTCTTAAGAGTATTGAAGAGTTTGCAGCCAGCTCTGCCTGAAGGCGACTCTGCCCACTGTACCTTAGTCAGCAGCAGCTGAAGCTGCAGCTCTCTGGGTGTCTGTGGGCAAACAAAGCATTGACATAGAATCAGCAGAAGTACCCTCTTTTAAACTAAATAGACTCACTCTCTCATCAGATAAACTTATTACAGCCACAATAAAATAAAATAATTAAACATTACTCAATCTTGGCTTTTCCAGGCAAATGTCACAATGAAGATCTCATATGTTTCCAAAGCAAAACACGAGTGACTTTACCTTGCCTCTGGTTTTGCGGATGTTGTGCTGTGCAGCAGTGCCTGCAGAGCAGAGCAGGGGTTTGCATGGTGTGCCCGGGGAGCTGAGCTGTGTGTGCAGGGCCCCTCCAGAGCACAGGGCTCCCAGGGACCCCGTGGGGACATGGAAAGTGCCAGGTCAGGGAAAACCCTGAGCAGGAACCAGCAGGACTTAAGGGGTTTGGAGATCCAAGGTCTTACATCCTAACATCCTTCCATGTGGAAAAAGCGGATTAAAGGTTCTCTGTACTTCCCTTGCAACCATAGCCCCCCTTTGGCCTCAGCTTGCCATGATGCAAGAAGCAGGTGTTACCTTTCATTATGGCTTCAGCATTTTCTAAAAAAGACATCCTGCAAGCCCAGAGGTCAGAATCTTGACATCAGAAGTGACTGTGTTCTGCAAACTCTTTCAGTTTGTGAATAATTAGGCATTTTCTAGTGAAGAGATGTTTCCTAAAACAAGCCCCTGTCAATAAATACCGCAGACATGTATAGCTGCTGTGAGCAGGAGATGTTATTCCTGTGCAGAATCAAGTGGAGAGGAGACTAAGGAACTCTCCATCTGTTTCTGCACTGTGCAGCACGTGGGATATTGCTCAAAATACACTGTGCTCTGTTTCTCAGAGCCTGGGCAGACAGAGGCTGGCATAGGCGTGGCAGGATGGAGCTGGACAGTCTGACTCAAAGTGTATTGCAGCTTGGGAAAGCAGAGGGGCTGCAGGAAAAATCCCTTGGTAAATGGAGCATATGAATGAAACCTGGTCCTGGTGCCAGATTTATTCTGCAGGCCTTGGTGGAGCTAAAAAAGCACATTAGACAAAACCATTATTGAACTTCTTGATTACATAACAATTTCCTCATCGTATTTCCAAGAATATCGAATCTATATTCAAACACCCTCCTACTCTCTCCCACACACCACCCCTTCTCCTTGCTATATCAGCTTCATTACCGAGTATGAAGACAGAAAAAGTATAGGGCACGTTGCCACGAGCAGAGAGATCTCAGATGCTTACCCTGAGATTTTAGAGCCATCTATGGGATTGGGACAGCCAGTTCTCATAAATTTTAATGGCCTTGAAAGTCTCCTGTCTTATGCCTTTATCTCTGTTGGGGTTTTTAGCAGAGCAAAGAAAACAACCAAGCAATAAATATCACCAAAGCTCAGTGCAGGTTGGTCCCTGCTGCCTGGAACTCCCTGTGCCACCTGCGGGTGAGCACAGGCTGCTCCTGCAGGGAGAGAGGGAAGCTCTGAGCAGCTCCCTGCCCTCTCCCCCGGAGGAGCACAGACCTTGCCGTCACAAAGGAGGAACCTCTGGGGCCACTCTCTCCCAGCAAGCAGGATCAGGCCCAGGGCAGCTGGTTATTCCTGAAAGGTGGAGGTGGAGGGGGATTTGGGGGGGATTTTGGAGGAGGTGGGGATGGAAGGCTTGCCAGCATGGCACATCCATCTTGCCTCAGGAAACAGCAGTTGCACAAACTGGCTACACTTGCTCCCAAAATCAGCTTGCTTGTCTCATTTGCATGTGTAATAACCAGTGTGTATGTACAATCATGCTAATCACTTTGAGGCAACTGCTTTAAATTCATCCAAAACTCTGCCCTGCCTGTTCTTGGGTTATTTAGCTGCCATAAGGGAACCATAGCAGCAATCCAGGGATTCACTCCACCAAAACCTTTGTGAAACAGCTGGTTTAGTGGAGGAGAAGTTTTTTCCTGAAATGCGAGATTTGGGGTCAGTGCTCTGGAACAGGGACCACAGGTGCTTTTTTGCAGTGACTGGAAGAAAGATTTCCAGTTTTGTAAGAGCTGGAGCCTCATGCACTGCACAGGGATTGTTTCTGCTCGAGTCAAAATCAGTCCTGTTGGCTCTTCTTGTTAAAGAGAGGTGAGCCTGGAAGAGTAGAGGCAGGAGGAAAGGGCAGGAATGGAATGAAAAGGCTGCCTGTGGTGCAGAACATCCCTAGAGGCCTCCCTGGGAGTGTAAACGTCTTCTCTCCAGCTTTCTGTCTCTCGTTACTGACAGTGGAAAATACAAGAGCTGCCAAGCTAGAGGTTCAGTACAGCCAAGATGGGAAACCTTATTAGAGAGACAGATGGTGATTTCTATAATCTGAAATCCCAGACTGTAAATACTTTGGGACAGAGCCCTGTGCAACTGAACAGTGCTAAAGCCTGACAGCAGCAGCTGGATCCAGTTTTCTGTGCACAACTGCTCTGTGGGTGGCTTTTAGTGGATGGTGGATGCTACCAGGACAAGGTACCTCTTACAGAAGAAGAAGGATCTTCTAAACCCTGCTGGAGATACTCCATCTCAATTTCATGTACTTTCCAACTGAAAAGTCTGGAATAACTGAGGACAGTCAACTCACATTTAGAAGTTTTTCTTAGCCTAAGAAGGTTCCCAAAGATGTGGTTGCAGTAGATGAGTAAGGGGGAAAATCTGTGTCTTGGGAGCACAAGTGACATCTTGCTGCAGCTTGTGGGAGAAATGATAAATGTCTGTTTATTGCTTAGCTTTGTGGCTAAATCTCCTAAACCAAAATCAAATTTTACCCTTAGATCTCCCAGTTTATTTATTTATATTAATCTGGCATTGCCTTGATCTTCAAAGCAGGAAGGTATATCAAAGGAAACAGAAGGTTTGACACCAATTACTGCTGCTGGATGCCATTCACTGCATAAAGATGGAGTGTTAATATTTACACTGAAAGTGAAGGAGATAAAACCCAACAGGTACACACATCTAAGCCTACAAATAAGCCCTTCTGTGTATAGTGGGCACAGATAAAGCCAAGCAAAACTAATTGAAATTACCATTGCAAATATCCCAAACACCTTCAGAAATGGTGGGTTGTAAACAAAGAAGTGACAGCAAAACCACCAAAAGAGCCTCTAGGAAAGCAAATCAGGCTCTCTGCTTCTCAGGGGTAGTGCCTGGTCTCCAGGAGAGGGTCTTTTGAAACAAGCCACCATGAAGAAGTAATTAACATCTAAATTTCCCCACACTTCACCATGACACACTTGATTTACATTTTATTCTCTTGAGTTTGAGATGAGTGAGGCCCCCAGTGACTGGACCTGCCCTGCCTTGGCTGTCTCAGCGTTGTCCAATTTGGTTTGCTCAGATTCTTGCTCTCTCCTCCAAAAAACTCAAAATGGCTTAGAAAGCTTGGTGAAGTTTTCATGTTTTTCACAACCGTCAAGAATCGAATTAGAGATGAGTCATTAAACAAGAGTGTATTATTTGTATGCTTATGTAGTAGAATTGTACACACATCTCTGTAATTAGCCATCAGCACCCCAAATTACAGCAGTAACCATTCATTAAATGGAGGACATCACTCTGATCAAATCATGTATTCACAATTGCATTCCTTCTTGCTTAAATTTCAGACTTTGTTGTCCAGATGGGCCTTGTTGGGCACCTAATTAGTAGTTAATCAAAAGCTCCTGCTGCTTCACAGCCCTCCTGGCATCCTCCTGTTCCTGACGTGCTCCTTGACTGCGCGGAGATGGAAGCACAGGAGTCAAAGTAGAGGCTTTATCTCCTTTATGCCACTGCCATAACTAAAACTGCTTCCAAAATAAACTGAGCTCAGGATGCATTGGTTATCCGACTTCTGTGTACTGAGCAAAATGGGTCTTGCAACGTGTGAGTGAAAATACAGCCATGTGCTAACGGCAGCAAGAGACAGCGTCGTGTACTCTGAGATTAACTCACTGTTTTCTCTTTCCTTTCCAGATTTTGGCAATCATTTCCATCATGTTTATTGTACTATCTACAATTGCCTTGTCCCTTAATACACTTCCTGAGCTACAAGGTGTGGATGAATTTGGGCAGACCACGGATAACCCCCAGCTGGCCCACGTGGAAGCGGTGTGCATTGCGTGGTTCACAATGGAATACCTCCTGCGCTTCCTCTCCTCCCCTAAGAAATGGAAGTTCTTCAAAGGCCCGCTGAATGCTATAGATTTGCTGGCCATCTTACCCTACTATGTTACTATCTTCCTCACAGAATCCAATAAAAGTGTACTGCAGTTCCAAAATGTACGAAGAGTGGTCCAAATATTTCGGATTATGAGGATACTCCGGATTCTGAAACTCGCCCGGCACTCAACGGGTTTACAGTCCTTGGGCTTTACACTGAGGAGGAGTTACAATGAACTTGGATTACTCATCTTGTTTCTGGCTATGGGCATTATGATCTTCTCCAGTTTAGTGTTTTTTGCAGAAAAGGATGAGGATGATACAAAATTCAAGAGCATCCCAGCTTCTTTCTGGTGGGCAACAATCACCATGACAACAGTAGGCTATGGAGACATTTACCCCAAAACTCTTTTGGGTAAAATAGTAGGAGGACTGTGCTGCATTGCTGGTGTGCTGGTGATAGCTCTTCCCATCCCAATTATTGTCAATAACTTCTCAGAGTTTTACAAAGAGCAGAAGCGGCAGGAGAAAGCCATTAAGCGCAGGGAGGCTCTTGAAAGAGCAAAAAGAAATGGCAGTATTGTTTCCATGAACATGAAGGATGCATTTGCCCGTAGCATAGAACTCATGGACATTGTGGTTGAAAAGAATGGAGAAAGCATAGCCAAAAAGGATAAAGTTCAGGACAATCATTTATCTCCAAGCAAATGGAAATGGACCAAGAGAACACTCTCTGAAACTAGTTCTAGTAAATCTTTTGAAACTAAGGAACAAGGATCTCCAGAAAAAGCCAGGTCATCCTCAAGTCCCCAACACCTGAATGTCCAACAGCTCGAGGACATGTACAACAAAATGGCAAAGACTCAGTCCCAGCCAAACCTTATCACTAAAGACTCCAGCCAAGCTGGAAAGCAGAAGGAAGAGCTAGAAATGGAAACCCTTCCCGGCCCCATGGTGCCGCTGCTGGCCACTCGCACGGAGGGGATCGTGGACATGAGGAGCATGTCCAGCATCGACAGCTTCATCAGCTGCGCCGCCGAGTTCCCCGACCCCGCGCGGTTCCCGCACAGCCCGCTCACTGCCCTGCCCTGCAAGGGCAGCATCAGCGTCATCCAGGAGCAGAGCCGGCCGGAGGCCAGCGCTGCCAGGTACGTGGAAATGAACCCAAGCTCTGAAAGCAGCCATCGCTCCGCTTTCTTCATTGAAAGTCCCAAAAGCTCCATAAAGGCCAGTAACCCTTTAAAACTAAGATCTCTGAAAGTCAACTTCATGGAAGAGGACACCAGCACATTAGTACCAGCATCAAGTGTACTGAGAACATATCCAGACCCTCTCAAGAGCCGGGGCGCTGCTGCTGCTGCCACAGACACTTCCTTACTCTCTGACAGGTCTCTCATGAGCCCAGAAACCTCCATCTACACAACTGCGAGTGCGAGAACCCCCCCAAAGTCACCAGAGTCCCAGGCAGCCATAGCTTTCAACTTCCACGATGCTGGGATACACAAATACATCGATGCTGACACTGATGATGAAGGTCAGCTGATGTACGATTCAAGCCCTCCTGGAAATGTGAGTCCCAAGTACAATGTTGCAAGCAGTGGCTATCTAAAGCAAAAGGACCATGTTTATAGAACAGAGAAGAACCATCTAGAAGCTGCTGCTTTGCCCACCTCCCCTAAGCTGATAGGGCAGAACTGCATTTACTCTATGGAAGGTATCACTGGAAGAACCCAGGGCAATCAGGAGACTGTCAGGCTAGAAAATCACATTTCCCCAGAAGTCCATGTATTACCAGGCAGCGGAGGACATGCTAACACACATGATCAAAGCATCTGAGGTGGGGTCTGAAAGAACTTACTGAGAGTTTAAAGGAATATCTTCACAGTCAACACAAACAAAAGAGCTTCTGCATGGCATGAACTTGGCTGAAACAAGCCACCTGTTTCTAAAAGTCTGGGGGAGGTCCAGTGTGGGTTTGTGAAAATGTCCTTCTCTGAAACAACTCTAAAGACATTGCCCACATCAGTCCAAAAAATGATTGCAATTCATGATCACACATTGATCTCCTTTCATGTTGTCCAGTGAAGCCAATGTGACCAAATATCCATCCATTCCCCTTGAACGCTAGAGCTCCTTTTGGAAATATTAACATCTGATTTGCATTAGTTCCATAAAGGATGCCAAGGCAGCCAGATTTGAACTCTGGAATAAATTGCTGGGGTTGGTATAAAGCTTTCAAAAACACAATGCTCACTGCTTCAGGGCAGCGGTTCCCCACCTACAGCTTTCTCTGATGGATATTATGTTTAAAGGTAGCAGGGAACACTTGCATTATTGGAAAATCCAAGGGAAAAGCATTCGAAACAATTAATGGTCTAGAGAAACCAATTCTGAAAATGCTCTTTGTGTGTTTAACAATCTGATATCCTGTAGGACCCGATATTTTCTTTTGAAATATTAGCAGGGTGAGTTGCACCACTTGTATCTGACTCCAAACATGCCCCAGGACGCAGTGAGACTGGCACTTGCCCTCTGCTAGAAGCCGGTAGCTGCCCCGGGGCCAGGCGTGGCCCGGGAAGGCGCAGGAGCCATGCAGAAGCAGGAGACCCCGAGGCGGCGCAGCCGAGCCCGCCCGGGCTCACCGGGGCCGAGCCGTGCCCGCCCGGGATGAGCTGTGCCAGCCTGGATGAGCCGTGCCCACCCGGGATGAGCCGTGCCAGCCGGGATGAGCCGTGCCCGCCCGGGATGAGCCGTGCCAGCCCGGGATGAGCCGTGCCAGCCCGGGATGAGCCGTGCCCGCCCGGGAGGAGCCGTGCCCGCCCGGGATGAGCCGAGCCCGCCCGGGAGGAGCCGTGCCCGCCCGGGATGAGCCGAGGGAGCCGTGCCGAGCACTGCCGGGCCCCGGCCGGGAGAGGAGCAGGTTGGTCCGATGCTTTTTGCGCCCAAGCAGCGCAGTGAAAGATATGCAAGTGTTACATAAATATGCAAAAAGAGGGATTCGTTAGCGACCCGTCCCAGGCCTGGCTGTGCTCCCTCTCGCCGGGAGAGGCTCCTGCAGGGCCGTGGCACGAAGCAGCTGCGAGAGGCAGGAGAATCAGGCCTGACGTTTTAGTAACATCCAGTCATTTTTAAATGAAACAAGAAGATAAAGAGGAAAGGAAAAAAAAAAGAGATCTGACCATTTTAAGTGAACAGAACTAGCAGCCACCAGCCTAGGTTTTTAAAATATTATTGTTTCAATAAAGTTATGTCAAATTGCTTAGGAAATAATTTGTCTTTGGTTTTTAATCTTGGGGTTGGGGGGAAAAGCACTTTATGTTGACTTTTTGTTGTCGTTGTTGCAATGCTGGAGTAGGATAGCAGAGTGTAACAATCAAGCACTTTAAACAAGCACTACTTTAATTTGTGCCTCTTGTTGTGACTGTGATTTGTTACAAGCCTGTAGCAAGTCACAACTCGTCCTGTGATAACTGTGATGGTAACCTTTGATGTTGTTCTCTGTTCCTACTGTAAAACTCAGTTGTAAATGACTCCTGAGCGTTTCCTGAGCTGACCCGAGGCAGCGGGTCCGGCGTGAGCCGAGGCACGGGACGTGCGAGCAGAGGGGCACGCGTGGGAGGAAGACCCCCGAAGCCACTCGAGTCCGCTGCATTTCGTTCCTTCCTGTTGTGAAAATCAAGCGTTGGTTAGTCCTGAATGTAGCCGCGTGTCCGTCCCGGCCGTGCAGCGCCGTCTGTAACCCGAAATCGTGAATGCAGCCTGTACGGACAAAAGCAATAAGCACATTTCTGTTCAGGAGCCGGGCGGGCTGTGAGGATGGCTCTGCCCGGAGCTGAGCCCGCGGCGGCGGCTGCGCTGTGCTCGGCCGGACGGGACACGGCCGGGGCAGCGCTCGGAGCCCCGCTGTCCCGGAGGGTGGGAGCACAGCCCGGGCTGTCCCGGAGGGTGGGAGCACAGCCCGGGCTGTCACGAGGGTGGGAGCTGTGCCCTGTCCCGGAGGATGGGAGCTGTGCCCTGTCCCTGCAGGGAGAGCGGAGCTGTGCCCTGTCCCAGAGGATGGGAGCTGTGCCCTGTCCCTGCAGGGTGGGAGCAGAGCCCTGTCCCTGCAGGGAGAGCGGAGCTGTGCCCTGTCCCTGCAGGATGGGAGCTGTGCCCTGTCCCTGCAGGATGGGAGCAGAGCCCTGTCCCGGAGGATGGGAGCAGAGCCCTGTCCCTGCAGGGTGGGAGCAGAGCCCTGTCCCTGCAGGGAGAGCGGAGCTGTGCCCTGTCCCTGCAGGATGGGAGCTGTGCCCTGTCCCTGCAGGATGGGAGCTGTGCCCTGTCCCGGAGGATGGGAGCTGTGCCGTCCCGGAGGATGGGAGCTGTGCCCTGTCCCTGCAGGGAGAGCGGAGCTGTGCCGTCCCGGAGGATGGGAGCTGTGCCCTGTCCCGGAGGATGGGAGCTGTGCCGTCCCGGAGGATGGGAGCTGTGCCCTGTTCCTGCAGGGAGAGCGGAGCTGTGCCCTGTCCCTGCAGGGAGAGCGGAGCTGTGCCCTGTCCCAGAGGATGGGAGCTGTGCCCTGTCCCTGCAGGGTGGGAGCAGAGCCCTGTCCCTGCAGGGAGAGCGGAGCTGTGCCCTGTCCCTGCAGGATGGGAGCTGTGCCCTGTCCCTGCAGGATGGGAGCAGAGCCCTGTCCCGGAGGATGGGAGCAGAGCCCTGTCCCTGCAGGGTGGGAGCAGAGCCCTGTCCCTGCAGGGAGAGCGGAGCTGTGCCCTGTCCCGGAGGATGGGAGCAGAGCCCTGTCCCAGAGGATGGGAGCAGAGCCCTGTCCCGGAGGATGGGAGCAGAGCCCTGTCCCGGCAGGAGTGAGCAGAGCCCGGCAGGGTTTGAGCTCCCTCCCGCTCCCTCCCCCGAGCCCGCTCCGCCGGGCAGGCAGGGCTCGGCCGTGAAAATCCAAGTGTACTTAGAGGAACCGACGTGTTGCTGAGATACTGGCTGAGATTGAGTCGTCGCGAAAAAGTGAAAAGTAACTTTCCAGCAGATAAGCTTTAAATACTGATTTATTCTGCGGCTTTCTGAGGCCACAGAGCGGCAACAAGAAATCTTAAAGAGAACAGTCATAATATAATCTCTGTGTTTCAGTGATCAGTCATGTCTGCCATCAGCACAAATGTAAAAAGAAGAAAAATCAGGGATTTTTTTTTAAATAAAGTAATAGTGATTTCCAAGTTAAATATTTTTAGAGCTGATGCTTTCATGTGGAAAAAAAAGTCATATTTTACATGTCACGAAAGTGAACGTATTTAAATATAGCCATATAGTGTAGTATTTACCACACTCTCATCCAAATTGATGTATTTGGTTTATAGATGGCACTGACAAAAATGTATAAATCAACAATTCTATCATTTTTTATCTGACAGTCAACTGGTGCAACTCTCCTTGTAACCAAAGGCCCTCTGTCTGCCTTGCGTGATCGCTCATGGCACACACCTTATGTCATCTATTTAGTCCTACCTTTAAAGTAGCATTTTACTGAGTCACTTTTGAAAGTCAAATTCAAAAGTGTCATTTAAAAAAATCTTCCTTTTAAGTCTCAATAGCCAAAGTCCTATAGATTTCTTATAGAAAGCAAATAATTTAAAATTGAGCATATAATATGCTTGAAGAGCATTTCTCTCTTATTTGTGTACAAAGATGTAGCTCTCATTTTGTGCCCAATTAAAAAGGAAGTATGTTTAATTTATTTTAATGAAATAAAGTCTGAATATGAAGTACGTATCTATATATGTGTGTGTGTGCATAATACACATATATATGATGTAAGCACTGGGAAATCTACTCTAACCTAAAGCCGTGGTAGACTAAATCTGTACTCATTGCAAAGGAAAGGCAGTGCTTGGAAAACATAGTGCTCACAAATCCTATAGGTCCTAGAAGGACAATTTAATTTTTCTTTGTTTGGTACATGTTTCCCAAAGTTCATAGTGGTTGGGGAAAACAGGCAACATCTCTTGCACCGAGCTAAAGGGGGCGGTTTAATCTCTGATGTTTGGCATGCAGGTCTGCAGATTTCCTGTGCACCAAGTAGCAAGCAAGCTGGCAGAGCCTCACCTGCTGCTGCAGGAGACATCACACCTGCAAGGACTCTCTCTGGACGTGTGATGTCTGCACTTGCTTGTATCTTATGCCATCAACATCACTTTTAACACATACCTACAAATATATATATAGAAAACACACACACACACACTCACACATACATATATATGTATATCTATATATATATATATATATATATATGTGGAAGGAGAGTGTGCAGTTTTCTTAACCAGGAGGCTAAAGATTATTTGAGTTTTAGCCTTGAACAAAGGAAAAAAGCAGTGACTTTGCAGTAGATTTCTCAGTGCCTTTTCTTAAAAACTTCACCTAAGCACACTTACGGAAAAAAATCCCAACCCAAAACAAAAGAGTCTCCTGTGAAATCCACATTTTTCTCAACAGTTTGAGAGTCAAAAAAAGGTAGAAGAAAGGAAAAAAAAAAGGCAAGAGAGAGGAAAAGAAAGCCATGGAACGCACATTCCCCTCCTGAACGTGGCGTGTGTCGGGAATATCTGCCTGGGTGAGCCATGAGAAACATCTGAGGCCGTCAGGTTGTTGGCAACTATGGCTGTGATAACTGTAGCCTTTTCTTCCCTTGCAGCTAATAAGAAACACATTTCTAAGGAAAACAGTATTCTCTTCTGTAAAATTGTAATGTATTGTTAATATTTGTACCTACTGTATATTTATGTCTTGACAGAATCATGACCGGTACAGTTTATGGTAAATAACGAGGTTATGTAAAACTCATCACGAAGACAAGGTTTGCAAAGCCACGTTCTCCCTGCGGGTGAGCTCCAGAGAGCTCCTCACCCAGAGCAGCCCCTGAGAGAAGCAGCCGGGCGAGGAAGGCAGTGAGGCATTCCCTGCCTGTGGGCACGGCCCACCAGAGCTTCCCCGGGCTCGGGTCAGCCCCTCCCAGCCCTTCTGCACAGAACAAGGCATTTGGATCACCCACCTGGGGAGAATATGGCTTTGGACAGTTCTTGAATAAAGTACAGATGTTCTACTCACCTCTGTACCTCCTGCTTGCCATTGTGTTGGCTCTATAAGTATCTGATGTATGGAAAAGTCATGTGACTTTCATGCATTCCAGAGTAGTCTATTTTTCTGTTCAGATTTAAAAAAATTATATATATATATAAATATATATAAAATATAAATATATAACTGTATTTTTAGCAAATTTATAATAGGGCAATCAAGTCAGATTTCTTCTTTTTGTATTACAGAATAATATATTAGATGTTCTCTCAGTGTTCATTTACACAGCTGATCCCCCAACCTTTTTGTTGTTGTTATTTTCTTTTTTTCTGATGAACACCTGCAACATTCCTCCTGGAAGTGCATCTGTGAAGGGTCATGGGGTTTGTCTGATGTTGTCATGTTTTCGTATTTTCCTGTTTGTGGTACTTTAACCGGGGACTGGCTGTGGGAACTGAAATGTTCCTGCTGAGAAAGGTGGAGCAGGCCAGACTGCCCTTGGTGACAGCAGAGGAAAGGTCACCCAACACCCCTGGCTGCAGTTTCTCCAGATTTACTTCGATTAAGCTGAGATCAGAAAGAAGAGAAAGGTTTTGAATCTAATTGTCCTAATAGTGACATGATGGAGTTGGGATAAACATCAAAATCTCAGCTCTTACTCAAGGCAGTGACCTGACAATGCTCAGGCACCTTCAGAGAAGTTTTTCCTGGATTAAAACAGAAGTGTCCAGACTTTCATTTCCCC